GACACGGTGAGGATTCGTACCGAACTAATTTTAAACTTACAAAGATGAACACCTATTTCAGTTTTATCATTGTTGTATATTATTTTCATTTCATTTCTTATCCCACTGTGACGGCGAACACATTTTTGACTGAAATGTGGGCACAGTCGCCTGCACAAGTCATCTATAATACAATAATACAAAACAAAGAGACATTAAATGAGGAGTGACGGTTCTCACTGTGGTGGCGTAATATTTGGTAGCTGGATTCTGTGAACCATTCATTATTTCCGAGCACTTCTAGCTATTTACGGGCAGTAGTTATAAGTTAGAGCTTGTTCAATCTTTTCTCGGGTGGCCTGCATGCTTATCCAAGACATCGACGTAGGTCCAAAAATCTTCTCTCTTTTGGACCTGTTTCATAGAACGTTGCGCCGGAAAATGTCTTCCCCCTTTTCAGATCCGTGAACCTAGGTAATATTACGTCAGATGCATGGGTTGTTTCATCCTTTGTTTACCAATGTGTGATATTCATCAATTGATACTGTGCCTCCATCGTTTCCCCTGGGTTGACTGCAAGAACCCTAAACTACCGCATTGTGGTTCAGCTATGATAACCGAAAAGTATTCTGATTTCTCAATACTTACTAACTTATTGAACATTTACACAATTTCTGATTGGTGGTGCCCTCGGTAATCCTTATTCTAAGAACGACCACGGTGGTGTTCCCATGTTGAAACTGAATCGAGAAACACGACAATGGCAATGAGATTGTTCGAAGATGGTTTGTACTTACTGCTTGTGAATGTCATCCGTTAACCTAACTTCATCCGGTTCACTTTGTGTGAAGAAGTTGTTTAAGTAATACAAAATGATTTCAGCGATAATGATTATCGAATTCAGAGCCCATAATTCAAAAAGTGCATTTTGGAAACATTCCATTTTTAAACTTGTATTTTCTTATAAAATTCCGTAACTCTTATGAAAATTATGGCATTTTTCGACAGAGCTCGTTACGTTATTTCTATTGCAGTGGATTTGATAGAGATATCTCATTCTGTTCCGAAAATATGGCCAAAATGGTCGTTTTGATTATCCAGAGCTTGAAGCTGCTCCAGTGGTGGTGTCGCAGAGATGGATTATGACCTGAAAGTGTCGAACAAACTGAATGTGAATCTGGTCAATACTGTATGTGTATATCGATCAAGCATGATCTGTTGGTGTCCCGGAGCAGCCACTTGAGGTGTAGCTTATCAACTCGATTGCAGTATCGTGCGAAAGCGGTAAGCAATGGCTCAAGTGTTGATCGCGCATGATTCACTGGTATCAGCGGAGGGGGGCAAACACATAATCACACATATAGAGCCGTACGCGTACTAGCAAGATAAACAACCTATATGTATACCATGATAATTGAGGTGTGTAACCGAAGCCCGTCCCACAATCGTCCCTCGCACTTCAACGGGAGGCAGAGTAGTCGGTGTTGCCTTATGGTCATCCCGACATCATTGGGAGGCTTGTCAGCAACGCGCGACAGCTTGAAATAATCGGCAGACATCTGGAACTGATGGCCAGCCAAGTTGAAATGATTCCCGGATATTTTGAAATAATCCGTGGACAGCTTGATATGATATTGGGACACTTGACTTGCAAAAGGTATAGTCGTGACGACAAGAGTATCAATAAAAGTACAAGACAATGTGAAACGACGGGAAACCGCAGTATCTTATTATCCACATAGCAACATGACATTTTAAGTTCATGCTGTGATATCTTACACTGATACTCGGATATCTTAAATTGAAGAAGGTATAGAAACGGGGTGCAGTCGTTCGTCTCTTTTTCCATAGCAAAGCTTGCGATTTGATGAGCATTGTTAAATGATATCCGTATTCCTTCCAAGTTTTCATTTCCATTTCCGTTAGTAACAAGAAACATATCATCAATGTATCCGCAGTTTATTTTCAAATCCTCTATGAACGGTTGGAGTCTGGTGTTCTCTAACTTATCCATGAATGCATCGACCAAAATTGGACCCAACGGTAAACTCATAGCTACTCTATCCATCAAACGTGCATCGGAGTAATAATTCTTTGAGATTACTCAGTCACCAAATAATAATGTCTCATTAAGGTGCACAAATATTCGCTAGTTTTGACTAATGGGACTAATGGGACTAATGGTACTTACCTTTTACACTTAGAAGGTGAAAAACGCATACCAAACATAGATACACTGGCACTCAAACTATCCAGAAAAGCCTCTGGCAACTTATCCTGATCGTCACTTGAAATACAATACGAACACCAACCGGGTCTGGGCAATAAATGTTGGTGAACTTTGTTCCCGGACTAAAGTTAACTTTGGTAACAGAAAGAAATGAAATGAGCAGCACAAGGCAACTGGAGTGTCTTACACACAGTAGCTAGGATGGAGGACAAAAGTGAGAGTCCGACTGAGGAACTGTAATTTGAAATGATGCTGATAAATGGTGCTCCAACTCAGCCGTCCATCCACACTCCGTAACGGGATTTGACCGAGAAGCAAATCGGACTATGCGGATTTTGCAACGCGCCTATGTTCAACACACCTTTGGGATACAACTAACATTTTGATCACCACTGTTTCTTTCTGTCCTTCTTAAACAAATAATAGATGATAAGGGGAATGTCGGTGTAAACGGACTACGCCATATTCCTTGCCGGAGTCACTTTCTGCTCATTACACAGGGCCCTGTTTCAGAAGTATCGTGTGAAGACGAACAAATTGGGTTGTTCATTACAAGCTTGCCAAGCAAACCGCACACACCAATCCAAGGAGTCGATCTTTATTTCAAATGTTGCATTTGTTCCGCTGATAATCAGTTTAGTTCAGCTTTGTACAATCATTAACCATGCACTGTCGTGCGGCGGTTTTGGTTGCTGTCTTTTGGCCGCCCATTTGGATGAGGAATAGGAGAAAGATATGAAGGTTGAAAGTAGAGGCGAACAGGAAATGGAAAAATTCCAGTGGTCTAGGGTTGCAAATAAATTGAGAAGATTCTGCGGTTTACGACACCCAGGAATATCACTCAAAGTCTCTAACCATCGGTTACGATCATCCCGAGGTCCCCAGCCGGAGAGCCTAAGGGGACCTATGTGGCCCAGTACCCCGGTTAGGGATTTCATACCCTCGTACCAGGTCTTAGGTTGACCACCCTTGGCATTTTTCTACCCATCACTTGCCTTGACGAACATCCCTCGCTGTGGCAACCTATTCGGTGACATGCGTATCGCATGTCTCAAACAACGTAGTCTATGGAGTTCTACCACTTGCTGCAGTGGGCGACCGCGGATACCTAAAACTCTGCGCCTAACCTCAGCATTGCTCGTCCGGTTGCCTCACCAGATTCGCCAATAATACCTAACACCGTCAAATAAATCGAACAAATATTTACAGCTCTGTGTTCTGGGTTGTACTAAATCCATTAGTGATAAACAATACTGTATAATCAATAATATACACCCACAATGAACAGTTGTGAGATTGAGAAAATTGTTGTTTGGCAAATTGTCTTACGTTAAAAAAGTACAGTAATCTCTTGGGGATTCGAACCTATGCATGGAAGTCGCCTACGTTGTTTTCTGCTGCGCGCGCTCTACCAGATAAGCTATGAGGCTACACGAATAGTGCTGATATTTTCACATTTGAAATGTGAAATTATTGTGGGGAACGTTTTCTGTATAGGGGACGAACTATTGGAGTATGGTTTGTCATCCATATAACGCTTACTTAATGAGAGAAAACCCAGAAATTCCGATCAGGTGATAGCGGTCCCGTAGACTTAAAAGTGATCCGCATTTGAATCACAGTTGCTTGTGAATAGTGATCATTACCATCAGATAACTTGAATTTCTAAGGAGGGCAATGCAGAAAACGTATTTTTTCATCTTGTTTGGCCACGACAAGGAGAGAAATGCCGCCTCGGGGTTTTTTATCCCCACATTCTATGGGAAGTGGAATGATAACTATTGGATTGGAATTTGAAATTTTTGTCGAGTTCAATAAAACATTGATGCCGGGATAAAACATTTCACACTCTGCTAGCCTCCTGTTTTTCGGGGTCAAACTCACTCGCAGGGAGCGTCTGATGTGGTTGTGATAACGGTAACTGATATATAGAATGAAGACACGGGTGCAGTCATTTTGCTTTGATTGCTAGTTATGTGCATGTCTCCTGGCTGGACCTTTTGGTTCAAGGTTGCTTTTTGTATTGCAGGTTGTCTGGAACCCCCCTCCACGGAGAACCTACTGTGAGAACTGTGTATTGAGAACGTCGGCGACTGGTGAGGGACTGTGCGGCCTTTTGTGAAGACGCTAATTGTATAAGAACTCGGACTGCGTTGCTCTGAATCCATCTGCCAGTCTATTTCGAGTGGATTCAGAACTGTGGTCGGTCCGGCATACTACAGATATGTGTTGGTGTTTCATCGTTCACTCCACACGAGCTCTGATGGGCAAGGTGTGCGCAACCGCAGAGTCACCCAATTGCTTCCTGATGTAGGATTTGCATGAACCAGCCTCTGACACCATCCCCACTCCACCAAACACACTCAGATTTTCCCATGTAAATAGCGCAATCGTGATTTTACAGGCTAAGAGGCCCAGAAGTGTTGCTTAAATTTAACCGGAATCATGGAATCAACCTACACAAGACGTGAAATAGCTCCAACCCATTGCGATCACACTGAGAAGCGGAAGGAAGTAGCATCCGGTTATCCACAAGACTTGCAAAACGGAGTATCTAATTTTCAGGTTCATTATTTGAAAAACTCTTCCTGATAAACGGGAAATTTCTAAAAACAAAAAAAAACAGATCACCACACACCTTGCATTTTTTGTTGAATGTTTGATCCAAAACACTTGTTTGTTTTAAACTATGATTGTTATTAAGGTATATACGATCATGCTTACAGCTGAAAGAGATACACTTATTGCGCAATCTTACTATGCACAATGTATCCCAATCGGTAGTCTACATTTAGGCTGCATGGATCTATAGATTATCACAGTGCAATGAAGGAAAGCATACTATCCCAGTGAATCTATGAGTGTAAGTGTGCGTTTTTGTGATCGGGCAATAAATCACACTTACATTGAAAGGTAAAAATTCCGGTGGTGGACATCGCTGCGTATTGCGACGACGATAGGCAGCTTCAACTATGTTGGCCCCGTTTAACAGACGAAGAGCACGAACCAGTTCCCAGTTCGTGCGCAACGGGAATTCCTGTCCAGTCAGATTGATCCAATACTTCCAACCACCGGGAGCTCGTTCGAGCAGAATTCGAGCACAGGTCAGATCCGCATCCAANGACCCCACTGAACATCCACCCGATCCGATGCGTCGACAAAAAAAACATTATGTGCCAAATCCGGACATTGTTTCAATCGTTCAATCCGTTTGACAAATACAGGTTCACTTTTTCGATCAATATGAATGCAATAGAAATTCTGTGGCCGATAGATGGCATGAAACAGGCGAAGCACCCGGTTTGCATCGGTGTACACAATCAAGCTGAATGCAAGCGGGAATTCCCGTTCTTCCACACGCAATGCATAATCATAGGACACGGTAGAATTCAATTTCAAGAGAGGACATTCGTTGCCGGACATGGTGTGCATCAAAACGGGCCACCTGATAATTTCCCGTGTAACATGTCGCTCTCCTCCTCGGAATACGAGAAGCAGAACTAGCAGTAGTGTGCATACAAGGAGAAGTAATTTGGTATTTGTATTCACGGATGACATAACGTAGTTATTACATTTTAATCTCCTTTCAGACATTCGTGATTGTATAGCATCGAGTAATCAATCGCCGGGGCGGTTTTTGTGTCAAAAATGGCCNGTGGCGTAGTGTAGAAACCTGATTGGTTCATTCGTTCGTCCGTTCATACAAGTATCCAATAGGATCCGCCAGTGTTAGTGACCAATTGGATTGCGGTGTGCATTCCGACTGGTTCAGTTCGCTTGGCATTTGTGTTCTACGGGTCGGATGAGTGTGATAATCTTGTCCACTCTACTCGTTATGGCAAGGAAACACACGCGCATACGCACTCGTAGACGACGGCATGCGGGCGGCCTTTTATCAATAGCCTCCACTATTGGGCTGGTCGGCTTGGTTTACGTTTGACAGAAATCGTTGTTGTCGTCGCTTGTGGTGGTGGTGGTGGTAGTAGTAGTTGTGGTGTTCTTGTTCTTGCTGGACAAACGAAATTGAACCTATCTATTATCTACCAACGTGCTATACCTAAATAGGAACTTCAAATAATACAGAATACTCTAAAAGTACACCCTTGTCGTTGATACACATTTGCGGATATATCTAATCGTATAAATATAAAATAATTTTTTGAAAATATCTATTTATTTATTTATTTTATATTGAATGGGTGGTAGTACGTACTTATTGACCGGAACTACGGTAATAGTCATATCATGGGAAAGATAAGGTTACCCAAAATATCTGGTTGTTCACAGAGGTTTGGTTTGCGTCGATGAATTGCTACGACCTCAGCAAGCGGTAACAAACACACGGTCTTCTGCCCTTCGCATTGATTTTGCCTAATCCAGTGTTTTTTCCCGTATCTAACGGTTTGTCATGATTCTGATCA